ATTAGTAGTTGTAAGAAGACTTCTTTTGTAATTGAAAAAAAACCTTATTAAAAATGCTTTACTTAAATATTTTAGTTTTAGCGCTTGCCTTATTTAACTAATTTTTTTTGATTTAATAAAGCAATCTGGATATTTTTTGGACGAAAAAATTGTTGGACGCGAAAAAGACGTTCAAAAGACGTTTAGAATTTTAATGGGACGGTCGGACCCGATTTGAACGTCCTAAGGACGTCTTTTTTACGTCCTGTGCCTACTAGGGACCTACTCTAAACCCCTATTAAAAGAAATGAAAGCCCTAAGCATTTACCAAAATAATATATATGCTAATATATTGTTCATGCTAAAATACAAATTAGGATTAGTTCCAAACCAATTTACAGAAAATTTCTTTCAATCAATATCAACAAATTTAAAACAAGAGCAACTGGTAGCTTTATTGTACCCTGGAAAAGATATAAAAATTCTCAATTTTCTATTGCTTATCGCGGTCCTTATTTATATAACAAATTAACTCCGAATTTTACCTCTTGCTGACAATATAACTTCTTTAAAGAAAACTAAAAAATCATGTTCTCAATACAGATAATTACTTAGAAATGTTTTAGTTCTAATGATAAATTAATATTTACGCTCACTTTCAAACAATTCGCAATCAATCAAAAATGAAAATGTATTTTTTTCTAATTAAAAAATAAAGCTAATACTATTATTATAAACCACAACACTAACACCATACATAGTATAATAAAAAGAAAAAAAAAAAGTCTATATCAATAATATTTAAAATATTTGTTTTATGAGAATCATAATGTTTATATGTGTACTATACACAATACCCAAAGGTTCTCGATGATAAGACTAAACTCAGTCTTCTACGAGTTCCCTACAACAGTCAAAGCCCTTATCAAATCATAGCATATTTAATTATTGCTTCCTATGTTTATCTTAACGGTATTTTGTAAAAATTTTTTTTTTTTTTGTATTGGAAGTATATTTTGTTTATGTTATTGCAGTTTAAAAAATTTTTTTATGTGTTAAAAAAATTTGCGTAGTATTACAAAAAACTACATAATTAATATGTAGTTGTGAAAATTTAAAGAAAAAAAATATATATTTTTAATGAGAAAAAGCAGTCATCAAATATTTCTATCTTGTGTGTAGCGTTTAGAAAATCGTTGTGAATTATTCAACTTATTGCAAAAAAAAAAAAAGATAAAATATAAATATTGAAACATTCATTTATCCTAAAATATGACAAAAATTTTTTTGTTATAATTATTTTTTTAAGATAATCATAATAGTACTAGTAACCCTTAATGCGGGTTGTTAGTAAATAAAATTAAAAAAAAAAAACCGCGTATAAAAAAACTACTTTAAACTCGAAAAGCCTAGAAAATGACGTAAGTCATTTTATTACGTAATTTTTGATGTAAGTCAAGACTATTACTAGCGTATTAATATTATCAGATGTATATTGCTTCAAGTCCCAGCTTCTAATTGTAAAAACAAACAAAACAAAAAAAAACGCATAAAAATAATATTTAATCTTTTAATCTTAGTAATCAGAAACATTTTTTGGTGTGGCACATTTTTGTTGACGGTGTGAAATCAATAAATATACAGATTTCTAACAAAAATTCTTGAAGTTCAATGTTATTTAAAAGTATTTGAAAACCACGCCTATTTACAATATTTTATTATAACTTTTCGATATCTTAATATCATATCTATAATATTTTAATATCACATATATAAATAATAAATCTATTAAACAAATGTTAAGAATAGTAGTTATGATTATAAAAGATAAAAATATTTATTATCAAATACAATGACAATAATAATTATAAGTAATATCTGTCATTACTGTTGACGTAATTATTATTATATTTATCATCATAATTATTTATTATCATAACTGTTAATAACTTTATCTTCATGTTTTTGCATTGATCATGTCCTGTAAAAAAGTACAGTCGAATGACGTTAACAAAACTTCAATTTAAAAAGTTCGCAACTTATACTTAAGTTCATTTGGTATTTTAGTTTTGCTTGTTCTTTAGCTGCCAAAAAAGCTAAATAATAGATCATAACGTAAATATAATACTTAAGTAAAAAAAAAACACGCAACAAAAACGTTTGGTTTCTGAAGCGCGTTTAAAACATTCTAAAACAAAAAGAACAACATGGTTTTCATTCGCAAAATTAACTATTAACTAAAAATACTAGTTAAAATATTAATGGTTTCACCGTTACGAAAACGTAGTATTATACTATAATAAATTTCCGTAAGGAATGTGAAACCACTAATAAAAGCATGCGACATAAATTTGACTTTAAAACCTCAAAAACACATGTTAAACTCGAGTAAAACTGCCCGTAATATAAACGTGTTTTTTATTTACGTCTGGATTGTAACCAACACGTCCCTACATAGCTTTTAATTCCGAAAAAGAAACTAGATGTGCCGGTTGCGTGATATTAAGGTGGCCAAATTATTTTCTTATCAAAACATAAGTGTTTCAACTTTGCTGTTATTCAATCAAATTTGATAGATTGTGTGTAATCAAAACTTTAAAATTTTTAATATTATTACAGACGTGTTCAAATTATTAGACTAAAATTTTTTTCTCGTTTTTTTTTTATTTTTATAAAAATATTACAGATATAACGTTCGTAAATATAAAAAAAACCCTAATTAATACTTGGTATGGAGCCCCTTGGCTTTAATAAGCATATTAATGCCGCTCGGCATGCTTTCTACCAGAGTTTTACAAATGTTTTTGATGTCTTGGTCTTGATGCCATATTTGTATCAGTTTTTCGATGAGTTGCACTTTGGTGGTAATTGTTTCTTTCTTGATCTTTTTCTTTACAACAGCCCACAAATTTTCAATGGGGTTCATGTCGGGACTATTTCCTGGCCACGGCAATGTCTTGATTCTGCTCTGCTGAAGAAATTCTGTCACTTTTTTGGCTTTATGACATGGAGCCCCATCGTGCATAAAAATTACATCTCCCTCTGGAAACCATGTCTTAATTTGGGGCATTAACCTATTTTGTAGCACTTTAATATATTGTACATGATTCATGGTGCCTTCTACGATGTACAACATTCCCGGTCCGTGTATTGACATGACACTCCACACCATAACAGACGTTGGATGCTTGACACTCTGGCTAACACACTCTGCCTTGAACTCTTCTCCTGGTCTTCTTCGAACATATTGGCTCTGTTCTTCCACCACCAAAAAGATGGATTCATCGCTAAAACATACCTGGATATAATAAATATACAAATGAGTACACAGAAACACTTTGCAAAAAATTACAGATAAAATTTGAGAGATTCTTTAGAAAAAAAAATGCCTAAATTTTTTTAGAACTCATCTTCATATTTAAAATAAATTTTGATATCAAATGTTAAGTGAAAACTCTCAAAATGACTTTGAATACAATTTTTGCATACATTTTACCTTACTCCAGTCATAGATAGACATGTTTTCATAAATTTTAGCCCATTCTAGCCTCTTTTTAGCCATCACTGGTGTAACCTTTTGTTTTTTTCGTGGACGACGACTTTTCAAACCACTTTCAAAAAGCCTTCTCCGAACAGTAACTGGAGAAACATCGACTCCTGCTTCATTAAGTTGTTGACACAACACCTTAGATGTGGCTCTTCTGTTATTAAGTGCCATTTTAACCAGATTTCTTTGTGTCCTTGGGGTTATTTTTCTTTTACGACCACAATTCCCTATTCTGTGGTGCTCATATGGCTCTTGATTATCAACACATTTTTTTATTCTGCTTACTGTTTTCTGACTTACACCAACTTTTAAAGCTATTTGAGTTTGTGTGTAAACCTTTTCAACCAACAAAGTTTTTACTGCAGAATATTTTTTGGGGGAAATATCATTTTTTTTGCCCATTGTTAAAATAAAATAATTTCACCAGTTTTACTGTACAATTCCTAAACAAAAACAATTTATTAGTAAATTCGAATTAAGTTTTTATACATAAAGTAATTTTGTAAAGAAAATAAATTAAAAGTAATTAAAATTACTTTAAAATGACACCCAAACAACTGCTGCAACGTTTTGCTACTAAAGGAAAAAAAACATGCGCTGACTTGCCTCCCAATATTGAAAACGCTCTAACAAAAAAAAAGTGACGTTGCCAAATATAAAAAGTATGTAAAAACATTAGAAAAATGTCATATTTTATACTTAAAATCTTTTAACTGTGATACTTGTGAAAATGTAATAGATATTTGAACTCAATCACGGAAAATAATTTTCTTAAATCTATAGTCTAATAATTTTAACACGTCTGTATAGCAATATTGATATTAAATTATTAATATTATTAGTTAATAATAATACTTCCTGAGCCTGTAAATTTTATTACGATGGGTGTTAAATAAACAAACTAAAACTCCCAATAAATAAAAGGTAATTCAAAAACAAATTTTGATAATTGTAAAATACTTATAAAAATTTTTTATGAGTCTATGTTTATTAAAAAGTATTTTAATTCATAAAAATGCTTCAAAAGCGTCTGTCGTTTTAATTTTCTATTCAAAACTTCAATCCCTTTTTAATCGAAAACAAATTAAGGAATCAAAAATTATTATTTTACAAGTATTATAATTTGCGCTTAACACTTTTACTAAATAGTACTTAAATTTAAAATATATTTACTTCATTTAAGAAAAGAAAAGTTAAAAGTATTTGCTTACAAATTTAATCCGCCTTTTGTAAAAAGGGCAAAAAGCGGCTTCACTTTTCGGATCGAAGTTAGACATCTAGTCATATAATATATCATTGGTTTAATCACGTCATGATTTTTGTTTTGTTCTTTTTTTGATTGCAGCGCGCACACATAACAGAATATAAGCGCGTTAAGTTGCTATTCAGGTAGTACAGACGGTACGTTGTGAATTCTTTTATTACGTTGCGAATTTTTTTTTATTACATTTGTTAATAAACAAGGAGAAAAGAAATGACTGAATTTACTTTTGATAAAGTATTGTACCTAAAAAGTTTGCAACTTACGGATTACTTGGATAACGTGGATGCGATAAAACCTAGCCAAAGTTTGCTATATGACATAGTAAAAAAACATTCCCAAGTTATTCCTTATCAAAATAGTAGTCTTTATGGAGCTACTTCAACATTGGATTTATCTATAAAATCGTTACAAGAGCGATTATTGCTAAAAAAGTTAGGAGGAATGTGCTATGAAACTTCAGAGCTTTTATGGCATGCTCTTAACTCTTTTGGATTTAAAGCGTATCGTGTTCCAACAGTTGTGTTAATTGGTCTACCAATAGATGTAGATGACATTTATACGCATAACATTACTACAGTTTTCTTTGAAGATCGTAAGTTTCTTATAGACGTTGGTTTTGGATATAATAGCATTAAAGAACCTCTTCCGTTTTCCTTTTTGACAACAGAAGAAATTACTGTGCAGGGAGAAAAGTATATACTAACGTGTCAGGCTGATTATTACATGTTGAGTATGGAGTATGGAGTTAATGAGTTGCTAAACTTTTATCGTTTTAATAAAACAGTTGAATTCCTTCCAGAAGTAATAGATGTCAATCAAACTTCAAGTCTTTATACTACTCTTATAAATCATCCAAAGTTGGTGGTTGTTAGAGATCGTTATATATTATGTGGTAAAACAACGGAACTTGGTAGAATTGGGTTTATATACGATAATAAAGAAAAAATTTTTAAAAAAGAAACCTTTGCTAACAACAGTGTAACAAAAGTATTTTTTAAAAGCAAAGAAGAATTTGAGAGAAGCATTTACGAAGATTTAAATATTTCTCCTGATTTAAGTAAAATATGTGAAGTATAAAAGACAATAATAATAGACGTATTTTAGTTCTAAACCAATAGTATTGATATTGATCTAGGAAATACAATAACAGTAAGCAATTATGGCATCATTTTTTTTTTAATAATATTTTTTGTTTTAGATGCCTCAAGAAAACCTAATGGTACTCTATTCTAGTCTAAAACTTTCACACTTAACATCAAAATACCAGCACAAAGTAAAACATTTACATTCAAAATTTCTATATTTTTTAAAATATTTATTACATGGCATTATTTACTAAAAGCATATTTTGCTGTTTAATAAAAATTTTTAACAGCCGCGGCGCAGTGGTTTAGCAGCTGTGACGCAATGGTTAGAGTTCTGGCTCAGAACAAAGAGGTCTGAGGTTCAATTCCGACTTTGGCCAAATAAATGACATTATTGTGGAAGGAGGCGTGAACTTCCTAGCTAAATGGTCTCCACGGCGATCAACGGGTGGTATTGAAACAATAATTCCCGATTTTTAAAATATTTTTACAGTATATTCCACAAATTACACACGTTCTAATTAGAACGCAACTTACATTGCCTAATATTTAAGTTTAATATTGCACAAAGCGTTTTCACTAAAGTTTACTAGTCCAATCCATTCCATGCTTAACTAGTGAAATTAGTATCAACAAATATTTTAATTGCAGTAATAATATTATTACAGTAGTTAACATTTTTCTTGCCTACAATGAGGTATAACACAGAAAAGAAAAGGGGTAGGTTTTGTCACTTGCCAAGGAGAGGCTAAAAAGGTCTTTAAAAAAAAAAAGGAAGTTTCGCATATTTTCATTCACAAGTAACTTTCCTTTTTTAATTTTTTGCACTTTAGTGTTATAATCAAGTTCATATTACGTATAATAGTCAATTTCATTCGTCAGTATAATAGTCAATTTACAAAAGAATATTTCTGATTAAAAGCTCCGAGAAAGGAAGGGGGGGGGAGAAGACTACTACCCCAATGCTGCTCCCTTCCTCTCCCCCTCACCCCCACCCCCCATCCTCCAAAAAAAAACCGGCACAAAATTTTTGATTTTCTCTGAAGTTAAAGAGTTAAATTATATAATTTAAGCTAAAAATTTTTATATTTGTTCTGACGTAGCATTACAAACAAAGCATTAAAATAAATAAATAATAAATAATAATATTAGGATTTTTTTTTTAGCTACTACTTACAGTTAAAAAATTTAAAACAGAAAACCATTTAAAAAATAAAATTGTAAATAGTTATTGTTTATTTAAAAAGCTTAATTTAAAAACAAGTATAATGTGTTTAATCCAACAACCAAATGCAAATTTTTTGAGATTAATTATCTTATAAATCTATTGATTTTTGCTCAGAAATTTATCTCCATCTGAATATTTTTTTTTTTTTTCTGATTAACATCGTATAATATTATTATAATGCACGTATACATATGGAATCTCATAAAATAAAATATAAAAGTATATACATTACAACAAAATTGAGTTAAATCAGATAGGGATAACTTAGATAAGATAGGGATAAATCAGATAAGGATAACATTACGTTAGAACCGCAAGGTACAAATTTAAATAAAACAACGTAAGAATAAATAGCTCGTATAAAAATATAATAATAACAATGTTATCATTAAAAAGTCAAGACAAGGTTAAATTAATCAAAAAAGTAAAAAGAAAAAACTTTATCTTAAGTTCAAATTTTAAAAATTTCTATTTTTAATTGAAACTTAAATGAATTTAAAGACTTCACCATAAACTTTAATTCTTTTTGACAGTCATTCCATAATTTAGGTCCTCAATAAGATATACAAAATTCTGAGAGTTTATTACGTTTCCGAGGCAATTTAAAGTTTTTATTTCTAAGAGGTTTTGCATGTTCACGAATTGAAAATGTTTATGAATTTTTTGAAGTTTTGAAGTTTGCGTACTTGCCCATGATATATTTGCATAATTAATAAAACAGTGTATCAGTCCAAAGTATATTAATTTGAGACTTAACATATTGACGTATGGTCTAACCCTATACATTACGCCAATAGTTTTGGTAACTTTTGAATGTATGTAATTTATATGGGGAAGCCAGGATAAATTTTCATCGACAAGGATTCCGAGGAATTTTATACTTGCTTGCTTTTTAATTATTGTATCATTTAAGTAAAGTTCGCGCAATTTAAGAGGAATGTTTAATTCTTGTGTTTTTTTATGGAATAGAGTATAGTTGGTTTTCTCAACATTTCTTCTCTCCCATTTCACAACAATTATCTCTCAAGTTTATTCAGTACCATTAATACTCTTCCCATGGTGATAGGAATTACCGAGACTAAATTATACGCAAAAGATTCTAATACTACTGACATTACCACGCAAGGTTATGCAACGAGCATTGTCCAACAAAAATCAAAAAAAGTTAGCGCGCTTCTTTTCTTAAACTAAAACCTTATTTAGATAATTCGTAGTGGTCTCATAATTTAGGCCTCCGAATTTCTTGAGTCTTTTTATTGAAGTTATAAATCCATTCAAGAGTAATCTCAATTTTGGATGCATGTATCAACATCCCTCTTTAAAATCACTGAATTTTTGTCTATCCATTTTAATCCTCTCCTTAAAAAATGGTGAACCCAGATCCGTGCTAAGGCTCCCCCACACACTCCAATCGGTCGCAAACATCAAAGCAATTTCAAGTCGTCTCGGGAGTATGCTTGTAACTGACAATAAAAAAAAACAAGTTTCATTAGATAAAAAAAAACAACAAAATTCACTGAAATAATCTTTATTAAAACATCTAAAAATGAATTGTTCTAGAGATATGCAGCAAATTTTTTACCATTAGTAATTGCAATTATTCAGCAAAAGGTTTATTAAAACTCGGTAATTAAATAGAACCACTTGATTTCAAAAGTATATGTTAGTTTAAGCTTCTTTTCTTGCTTCAAGTTATAACACGACATTTGATAAAAAAGACAACTAAAACAATTTTTAAAAAATCAAAAAAACTATTTTCCAAATAACTAAAGTTTAAAGTTTTATTAGCTGTATATCATAACTCCATTCATTCTTGTAGTACTCCATTCATTTAATATGAAGTTTATCAAAAAGTTGTTGTTTGCCGTTTTGTTGCGCCATTTTTAATGTTTTTCTATATCAATTGTAATCAATAACCATTGCTTACTGATAACAGTTTCATGAATTCATATACTTTTGATTAATGATCGACCGAAATTCGGTCTTGGAATCGCTTTTGGCCAAAGTTTTAATTTGAACCGAAATTTCGGTTTTGGTACTTTTTATAAATTCAGTAAAAACCGAAATTTCGGTTTAATAACATACCGAAAACCGATATTTATCTAATTTAGAAAAACTGTTATTTTTTAGAATTTTCACTAAGTTTTTGCAATTTTTCACAAAATACCTAAAAAAAATCTTATTTCGCAGAGAAAATCTCCCAGTTGTTAAATTTCGCTATTAACTTATATCGCCGACTTATGTATTAAATCTCAATTTGGAATACAATTGTAATTAATTTAAAAAAAAAAAAATTTAAATTGCATTTTAAAATAAAATTTTTTAATGAAACAAATTTTGACTAGCCGAATATTTGGTATCGGTTTCGGTAAATTATTTGCCGAAATTTCGGTTTCGGTGTCGGCTCCAAATTTGACTACCCGAAATTTCGGTTTATTTCGGTTTCGGTTTTGGTCGATCACTACTTTTGACATCTGTCTCTGGTAATCTTACATTTTCAATTTCTGACTACATGGCACTGTTTGTTTATATTTCTAATAATCCATCAAAACCCATTAGAAAAAAGTAAAAACATTTAAAAGAATCTTTGAAAAATTAGAATCCTTTGTCCAAGAAATTTCTGATATTATTTGGGGACTCATGAAAGAAGATGATAAATGAGTCTACAATCTTTTTTCATAAAATATTTGAAAGAGTATTAGACCGATATACTCCCAACAGAGATAACAAAGAAATCAAACTTCAATCTAAGCCCTGGGCATATATTGGTACGCAAAAAAACTGCGTTTTGCGTTTGCGTTCCAAAATAAAAACTCACTCGCAAACTCGACGCATTTGACGCAATTTATTGCGTTTACTTACGTAAACGTAAACGCAATTTACGCAAATAACCGCGTTTACGCACACATTTAATACGCAACTTACGCATATAAAATGCGTTTGAAAATGTAACATTGGCATTTTAGAATTTTTGAACCAAAAATCATAAGAAGGATACACAGATGTAGCAAGTTCTTTCTCTTCGATTTGCTTAAAAAAGTAAAGTTCTTCTTTTTCTATTTCAAGTAAACAAAGTTGTAAATTAGGCTGCCGAGCTTTTGGGCAATAGTTATCATCTAGCATAAATTCGCTAAGCGAATCAGTTTGCTGATCATTTTAACTCAATCGTTCTATCGTTTGTGTAAGCTCATAGCCTGGTTATGATTCTGAATCATTTTGATAAATATTATGTGGCATAAAGAATTTCATCGTGCAGCTTTTCTACAGCTCCTAAACAATTTTGGGTTGTAATACAAACTTTAATATAATAAATTAATATATAAAAGTAGTTAAATTTTTAAATTAGGTTTTGAAGAACTTTTTTTTGTCTTAATTAAATAATATAACTTAATAACTAAATACCTTTAACAATAAATTGATATTCAGATCTAAAGAACCATAATTTAAGCTTTGATATATTCAACAGTGATGCTACTTGATAAATTCCTGAGTTAAGTTCGTACTGAAACTTTAATTTAAAAGAAGAAATTAAGAAGTTAGCAAGTTCTTTTTGATTTCCTTGTGATTCCATTCTAATCCATTTTGAAATCATAACTATTATATTTAAGACTTCATCTTCACCTATTTTTTGCTGCTCATTATCTGCTTCTTTAATATAAAGGGCAACCTCTTGGTTTAGCAATGGATCATCTTCATATGTACTATCGCCACCTTTCGTCTCTTAAACTTTTTCTTCTTCATACTTTTCAAATAATTGCTTAAAC